ACTATGCCTATTGATGTCGGCAATTCCACTCTGTTTATGAGTGACGTTCTCAAACAATGCACGGTACGTTTGTATGATTCTACTATGCTTCAAAAAAACCAGTTTTTCGATTCTATCGTCAGCTCCTCTTTTGAAATTCCAAAGAGATTTCACAAGTACCATCACCAGAGTTTTGATCGAAATGTGTCAAAGTTTGTCAAAGAGAAAGCCTACAGAGCAGGGAACAAATTGGTACGTGACGTGGGTGGAGGCCCGCCCACAATGGGCGGAGCGTGCTCTGAATCAGACAGCGTTTTCTACAAGTCCTCATAATTCGGTTCCAAGGAGTCTTAGAGAGCCGGAAAAAGGATAGAGGTGGAGAAGGAGTGGAGGCCAAATGTCAATGATGGGCGGGGCATGTCCAAAGTGGGCGGAGTTTGCGACGAAAATTCATAACTCGGTTCAAGAAGTCCCGGAGACCGGGAAAAAGGTGAATAAAGTTTGTCAACGAAAGCGATGAATAAAGTTTGTCAACGAAAGCGAGGTCAGCTGCTATTGGTGGGTGGGGTGCGCATCACTGTGGTTGCAGTTCGCACAAAACCTATAATTTACTTCCGAGAAGTCCAGGAGACCGGGGAAAAAGTGGATTGAGTCCGTCAACGGAAGGGGGTCAACTGCTATTGGTGGGTGGAGCGTGCGTTGAAGTAGGCGGAGTTTGTCACGTGATACAGGTGTTTTCAAAGAGAGCCCAGAGGCTGGGAAAAGTGGATAAAGGTTGGCGAAGGAATGGGGCCAAATGCTATTGGTGGGCGCCACCGAGGATTTGCGGAGTTTCCCACGGTGACTATAAAAATATCAATGGCCCTGTTTCAAACCAATGCAGTCCCATGTGATGCACGCGAATGCGTGCGCATTCGCGTGCAGGATTCTTATAAGCAAGATGGCACGAATGATGGTAACAAAGGAAGTTCCAGAAAGATGGCTGCGTAACCTACAATGACCGAACGGAGTGCTGCTGTTCCTACGATTTGTGCAACTCGTCTCCAGGCTTCATACATTTTCTACTTATTCCACTTGTTTCCGTTGCAGCTTTCCAACTTTTCGCTGTTTAACTCATAAATTTTTTTTACTTCCATAGCACCTATTGCAGATGTCCATTACTCTTCATCGTGATAAAACCTAAGACTTTAGACAAATTTGGAATGATTTGCCGCCCTCCATCATTAACTCTGAGTCCTCGAGCTCATTTAGGAGCAAAGTTAGAGAGCTTCTAAGATCACAAGGGTGGTTCTAAGAACAGAAACTGGAGTTTGATAGAACATGAAAGGCACTGAGGCGATAACTCTTAACTTCTAAACTGGCATTATGTTGTATCATTATTATCTAATGCTGCTTTGTTCCACTTTATTTTAACTATGTTTTTTTTTGTAAATTGTGACCCGATCATTGAATCTGTGGGAGTCGGATCTCGGCAAAGTTGGCGGACCTACTAAGCTGGTATCCGGAGTTCCTGTTCGTGCACCTGAGCTTGCAGTGTTGGCGGCCACTGCCCTTCTGCGCCGATTATCCACTTCCCTTCCCGCAGCGTTTCATTGGTGTAGTATACTTCAAT